TCGCCTCCGACTCTGTCGCCAGAGTCGTCGCTGATACGATGGACAACTATCTCATGTTCGGTCACATTTTGAAATGTAAGTACGTACCCAAGGAACGTGTCCATCCGGAGCTGTGGAAGGGAGCGAACAAACGATTCAAAAGGACGCCGTGGAATGTTATTGAGAGGCGTAGAATGGATGCGGGGAAGACGAGGCAGCAGTGGTCTAAGAAGATTGAACAGGAGGAGGTGAGGAGAGCTGCCAGGGCAGAGAAGATGAAGGTGCTTGGTTATGAGTTTGAGATGCCGGCGTTGAAGGGGGTCGATGAGGTTCCTGTTGCGGTCGCCGGGGAGGGGGAACAGGGAGCAATTGATGGTGTGGAAAAGGAGCCATCTGCGGATAAACAAGAACAGCCTGCTGCCATTGAAGCTCCGACAAAGGATACAGACAAGCCCAATGGACATGTTGCTGACGCGGAGACTACTCCGAAGAAGGCCAAGAAGGAGAAAGAGAAGAAGGATACTCCTCCTGTAAAGGAGGCAAAAAGGACTGGCGAGGTGGAGAAGAAGAAGAAGGAAGGTAAATCTACCCCGAAGAAGGAGAAGGCAGTGGTGGATACCCCTGAGAAACCGGCAAAGGGTAGGGAGGGTAAAGCCAGCCCTGCAACTGCAGGGAAATCCGAGAAGAAGGGAGGAAAGTCCAAGGGGAAGAAGAGCAAGGCATAGAAAAGGATGCTTTGAGATTGGCCTTGAGTTTGATTTTGATCCTTGGTTATGTGACCGGTTGAAGGGGCTTCTTTTTTGCAAGCTTTTTTAAATTTCTTTGGAGTTCTTGTCTGTGTGTATACTTATATATTTATCTGTGGTTAAGTATTTAGAACCCTTTTGTTTTGAGGAATGTAGGACTGTATTTCCCCCTTTTTCCAACTGCTCAGCCTGTTATATATGCATTGTCTATGTGTGTTCAAACGGAGCTACAATTGCGGATATCAACGGTGGTTAGTGCTACCATTTACTGTCTCCGAGCTTTGGTCCAAACGAAGGGAAAAGGACGGTTGATTGTAACTTGTAATCTAGCAAAACCCTACGAAACACCATTTTCGAGTCGTATCCTTCATTCTTCATTGCTAAAAAATAAGATATCCAACTTCATACTGCCAAGACCATGTCACGTGAAAAACACACTAACCATATTTGTCCTAGTCCACTAGGCCATAACGAAAAAAAAAAAAAAAAAAAAATTCGAAAACCTCTCCTCTTCTTCTTTCCCCAACTCCTCGCTCAAAGAATCGCATTCAAAGCTTACGCACAGAAGAAGTCTTTCTTCTTCATACCATTACTCCTAGCTTTGGGAGAAAGTCCCCGGACACCCTGCGCCCTCGTCTTAAAACCGCGAGGGTTCCTCATGCAACAAGCCAGGCACTGCGGAAACGCGCCGCCATAGAAGCATTTTTCATAGCGGCTTACGCCTCTTTTCCCTTCCCTTCCTCTTTTCTCTCGAGGGAGAGGAAGGGCTCGTCTCCGTCCTAGCCCGACTCTTCAGATGTTTTATTCTGTGGAGGAAACAATGGTGGTTTAGATGGGGCGGGGTCTTTTGGCGAGGGGGAGGTTGCTATTCGTCGTGGTTCGATAGTCATGCGATTGCTTGGTTTCCCGCGTGTATTATTATTATATGTGTGTGGAGCCGGGTAACTCGATGGGGCTTATTCTTGAGGCGAGGAGTTCACCACTTTTTTTAATGTCAAAGGTCTGTAGCTTATGGAAAGCGGCGGTGATGGTTTCGTTTCATTTTCCGTCCTGTAAAGTACGGAGATTAAAGGGGCCTCATTGCAGAAGCCTTGTCGGATGGGCCAGACTTATTACTTTGGTTATTATATTCTTGTTCTGGGACCTCATTGGGTTTTTTTATCTTCTATTTTTTTTCGGTTCACGTGATGATTCGCATCATAGAGTCAAGCACTGAGGCTCATCAGAGCTGTTGAAGACTCAAATGATTAAAATATAATCTGATGGACATGAAGATATGTGTATATTTAAACTTACTCCGCACGGCTGAATATTTGGATTAGCAGAATTAAATGACCTTACGTTTTTACTACTTTTATTCTCTTTTCAAAAGTATCATTAGTTTGGTATGTAAATCAGACATGAACATCGTGTATGGTATGTATATACATGGCATGCAACTAAACAAAACATAGCATAAATTTCCTTTTATCGTAGACATCCATTGCCACTCACTGGCTTTTCTTGCCTTCCTTCTCTCCCACACCTGCTCCAACTTTCATTCCCTCCTTTTTCGACGCGGATACAAATCCCATAGTAGCTCCCACCGCATCTCCGACCAATGCAACAACAGTAGCGCACGCGCCGCCCCAGATCTGTATACTCACAGTACCCATCGGCGCACGGGGGAAGGACAACACCCACTGCACCTGCCAAGGAATCCATCCTGGCGGCAAAGTGAAAATCGGCCTTTTGGAGTACCAGAATTGCAGGAAGAGCATTAGCCCGGAAGTGGCTGCCCAGCGGACGGATTTGACAGTCATGTCGAAGGAGGATTTGCATTGGGTGAGTTCGTTGTCTGTTGGTTTCCCGTTTTTTACTAGGTCAGAATGGTGTATATTTGTTTTTGTGCTGGGATTTCGAGCACGTCTCGAGTCCTATTTTTTTCTCTCTTCATTCGGCACAAAAACAACGGGCGGGTCCAAAAAGAATGATATGAAGAGCGTAATGCATTCAAACATACTCTTAGCTTCATATGTCTCCAACGCCTTATCATGTCTCCGTCTCAACTTGGCCCATTTCGCAAACTCATCTTGTGAACTGGTTGCGTTCATTTCGCGCTTAAGTTGTATAACTTCTCTTTTCAACCGGCGCTGTTCCCGGGCCATATGTGAGGTGCCTGTGGGCAGCTTGATATAAAAGAGCCATAGCTGCGAAGGAACGCATCCATTAGCTTTTTGCTATTTTCTAGAGCATGGAGAGAAGGAGGGAGGGGCGCATTCGCACCAAGCTATCTATTGTAGCTGCACCAATCGTATTAATCACATATATTACGATGTTAAGTAACAGGATGGTGATGAGTAGTGAGGGCATTTTCGCGAAATATGCCTTGTAGTTGGGCTAAAGAGGAATGATCGGGGAGCGGATGGAGATGCGCTCAACGGGGTTGCGAACGAATGAAGCTTTGGCATTTGGTTGCTGAAGAAGTGATCGAGGTGGCGATGCGGTTCTCCAGCGTCCTCTCATGGGAATTCAGTATTTCATTGCTCTGGACAATGAAGCACTTGCGACGATTTTCTGCTGTTGAGTTGTCTTCGACAAGGAAGTTGGCGAAGTTTCTGTTTGTCTTGTTTGTCTGGACTGAGGGAGCTTGGGCCAGCTATACTCCACGTGATAACTGGTGCAGCAAGATCTCCCCCACAACCTCCGAATACCTCGATGTGTATACACATCTCCTCACTTTACAGACACCCAATGACTTCCTAAGTCTAGAAATAGATCTTTTTATATCCAAATGTCCTCGCCCCAGAATTATCATGAGACCCTAACCAAGCTCCTCGAGAGTAGAGGCAATCAAATCTTCGACATCCACTTCCTTCCTGATGGCTTCGGTGACCTCCTTCAAGAGGGGAATGAGATAGGCATCAGCAAGAAAGCCCTTGTACAATGCTTCATAAAAGCACGGCAAATATTCTTCTCCCTCCCCACACTACAGCAGGAACTCAAGACATCCGAACCTAGCAGGAGTCAAAGGCATAGCGCGCCAAAAGCATCATTCGATGACGCCCTTCAATTTCCACCCGGAGCGAACACCAACCTCCATTCCTCCCCCCAATGCCTCCTCCCCCAAACTGAAATCCTCCTCCTCCTTGACTCCGAACACCTAACCGCCTGTAACTGGCGGAAGCGCAGATTATGCTCATTGAAAGAAGAAACCCAATCACAATGCCCCACCCCCGCAAACCAATACCTCTCCACCTTGCACACCGAAATCTCATTTACTACAACAATCCTCCGCTCTCCACTCTACCGTCACACGAAATCTCCCGTGTTATGGTACCACCGGAAATGGACCATGATGCAGCTTTTGGACCTCTGCCGCGATGACCCCGTTGCAGCATTTGCTGGCTCGCATCATTTGCCGCATTATGGCGCTGATACTGATACCAATGCTGCCGTGAACCAGATCCTAAACTATGAAGTATCCATCGTGCTACAGGCGGGCACGCATCACCCGAAAAATTATTACGCGTTTAGCTACCTCCGAGAGTTTATGGGGTTATTCGCCAATGCTCTTGCGGCTGCCCGATGTCAGGTACTATTAGCGACTACCACGACGACAGGACTGCAGCAATCGGCAATGATACGGCTAGGAGTCCTTGCGAGGATGGTTCTTGGAACGGTGCATACATGGTGTCTTGCATATTCGCACCGGCGGGATATTTCTGCTTGGAGCCTTTTGCTTTGGTTGTTGGAGGTTGTGGGAGAGGCCGATGGGGATGGGGATGAGGATAATGGTGATGCGAGTACATTGAGGAAGACGATTGTGGATAAAACTGCACTATTGGGCGCGGAAGTTTCATGGGATGGAGAGGGGTTGTGGATCTTTGTGGATCTTGCTATGAAGAAGTTTGGGGTTGATGTTGATTGGCTGGCTAGGGAGTCTGGAGGGCCAGACGCTGAGCGTGGTGATGTTACTGTGGACGACATAAATTGTCCTGGCACTGCTCCTGCTCCTGCTGCTGGCGTCACTACCGCTACCGGAAACCCTCCCTTCTCTTCACATTCCAATAAACGTTGGAAGATATGGATTCGTAGAATGCAAACGTCGCAGAAGCGGAATGCCGCGACGATTGTAAATGACAATGGCTGAAGCCACCAAATAATTATGAAATGGGAGTAACATTCATTCCCTCGCTGGCTCCTCGCATTTAAGCAACAGCCTAGGCAGCTTGCTTACTGCGTTATGATGATAAAGCAATTAGCATAACTCCTCCAGCGTCAATCAAAAAAGGAGGGGAAGAAAGTTGACTTGATTCTAAACCAACAGCTGCCTTGGCATTATCAAGTTTTCTGCTAACAGATAATAAAAAGCAACGGTAGCTAATAATAACAGTTCCAGTACAGTACAGTCCGTTGCGCCAGGGTATATTAGCCCAAACTCGTGGAAAAGGTGAGGTGAGAAAATGCACAAGCATTGAAAACCGAATCACATCTTGACAATTGGCAATATCTCCAAATTTGGGCGTAGTACTATAACTGAGTCGTTCAAAAGGGGAATCAAAGTTGAAAACGTGAAAAAGAAGGGGGGTTGTAGGATAGACGCTCGCATATAAAACTTGAATTTATTGAGGTAAAGGGGAAGAGTGAAAGTTTGTAAGGATCACGACGCCTTCGCTAAGCAAAACAACGATGACAACGACAAAAACAGAAATAATGAAAAAAAGAAAATTGTTAATTCATCATGTGCCTAGATTTCATCTCAAGATAGGGAACGTAAGAAAGTTGGAAAGAGTAAAAAGGAAAAGCTCTGTCTCTTAAAGCTCCCACCCCTTATTTGTATGTCAGAAAAAGCCAAAAGGCACACATACACAATTCCATTTAATAAGGTCAGGAAACCAAAACCATTCTTTTCTGCACTTGTCTGATTCTCTCCTCCGCCCCCACCACAATCCATAACAACCTTTCTCTGTCCTTGTATATCTTCAAGTTTATTGTGCCAATTTGAATCGACCGGTCTTGTCTGATCTCAGGATAGAGAAGGTTTGTGGTGGGGGAAAGTAGACATATACACATATAAAACATATATATATACAAAATATATGTGTACACGCTTAGAACCGCGCTTAAGAAAGGAAAAAAGTATCCTTGGCTAAGGGAGGCACATTTTATTCAATCGTTTCCCCACAGGTCGGAAGTCAGGTAGACAAACGGATGACGGCGCGCGTTGGCTTTATTTCTTCTTGCCAGCGGCAGCGGCTTCAGCGGCCTTTTTGGCATTTGCTATTTGAGATTAAGTGGGTTAATTTCGAGCTTCCCTTTTGCAAGTGACAGGTAATTTGGACGTGAGGCAGAGAGAGGCCCGGGACAGACACACACACACACACACACACACAGAGAGAGAGAGAGAGAGAGGTGTACAAACAGAGGTAGATAAAGCAAAAGCAATAAGAATACATGGAAGTGAGAGTCAATCTGATATTTGGAGTATTCAGCTTAGCATGTTGGGGCGAAGGCAGACGTACCTGCTTCTTGCTTCTGGCGCATGATGGCGGCCTGGGCTTCCTTTGTACGGGCGTACTCGGTGCCGGACTGGGTGTTTTTCTTCTTCTGTTAAGAGTGAAAGACAGGTATACATTAGTTTTCGGTCAGGGATGAGATTTTACTATATATATATATACTTGGTTAATTCCCCGTCCCCAAGACATGAGCTGGGGAGTGAGGCGGAGAGGAAAAAGACACGGACCTGCGCAGCTAGCTCTTTCTGAGTCTTTTCGCGGGCCTTCTCACGTTGATTTCCACGAGCCATAGTGACAGTGTGTTTGAGAAGAGCAGTTGAGAGTCAAGGGTTAGCGATGGTGCTGGCTATGGAAAAGGACGGTGGAGATGCGATCAACGGAGCATCGGAAATCCAACAAAAGTGGCTTTGTACAAAGATAATGTTTGACAGCACAGCGGGCTCCTAATGACTAAGACATGACTAATATTGGAGATTAGGCCGGCGTTAAGAAATTGTACCTCTACTGAGTGGAACGGAGTGTATGCTTAAAATAACACACCAGAACTGTCTGCCAGTGTCTGGAAGATGCTGTTCACAAATATTTTCTATGCCCAGTAATAATAATTCTGAAATCCAGTGCTCGACAAGGGGGAAGACTATTGTTTCTCTTCCATCTCTTCTTTTTTCGCTGTTCCCAGTTATCACGTGATCTATCCCCTGGCGGCTAATCCCGCGCCAGGGCCCGTGCTGACCAATAATGCGGCTCTTAGCCCGTCGCAGAGCCCCGCCTTCGAAACAACAACCACCCGTCCGTGTTTCATCCAACCACGTCCAACATCATCCTCAACATTCGCTGCCATCCAGTCCCTGGCCTGTCGCCTTGCGGTGTTGTGGTGCTAGGGGACTGGCTTGAAAGATGGCAGTCCGTGCTGCCCAATATCTCCAGTCTGCAGAACAACATCATGAAACCCAACTTCCCTCCTTAGCGACGTCTCTTGTCCTGACAGCCCTGTGAATGGTGCCTTAAAATATCCAGCGCCAATGAGGTCGCCTTAAGAGGACTCCGAACTGATTCTACATTTATGACAGAATGGGGATGTATCAAATCATATCAACACATGGAATGACGCGAGTGACTACCGCCATTGTGGGCCGTGGGCAGTTGACCCGGTAGAAGTCTATGGTTATTGTTTCTCGGTATTCACCATTTCTTGCTGTTTCATGAAGCAGCTTCATGAAGGCTATTTTCTTTTTTCTTCTGCTCTCTTCACTGCTCAGCCTACGCCCATTGTTCCATTTCTTGCTCTTCTGTGCCTTCTCTCTCTTCACATTTCGTTCTTCGTTTCTTCCCTATTTCCCGTCCTTTCTCGAGCTTTCAAGCTATATTGGGTGTTTGCCTTTGACGGCGACGAGTTGATTAATTATGTCCCTTTCACTACTATACTAATATTTTCCTTTCATTGATTTCGCATTGATACTATTCTTCTTCAATAACTTCTATCAACACGGACAGAGCTCCTCCTACCGGGCAATTCCATAAATTTTCAACGCCTTGACGCTTCATTCCTTCTTCTTAATTTCTATCTCAAACACTTCCTAACTCAAAGACTCATACTTTTATCCAGCCTCAAAACCGTTTTCTGGATTTAACCACTGTTATCGAATTTATACTTTAACATTAAAATCGTTCCCTTTCCGTGGCCTGGGGACCTTGGATTCCACCCCAGTCGCTGCTTTATTTTCATCAGTCGCCTGTCAGCCTTTCAAAAATGACAGCCGTGGTCAAATCCCTGGCTGGTCCAGGTTATATCATTTTGAATGCCGTACGGGTCTTCAACATAATCTGTCTCCTTTGTATTATCGCTGCATGTTCAGTTTTACTCATCAAGACTTCCACTCCCACCAATTTCTTCGTTTTTGATGCGATGCATCGAGTTATTATAATTGCTGTCAGCAGTAAGAAACCACTATGTTTTCTCCTGCTTGGTGGATCATTCTAACAAAAATCACACAGTATTCCTCATTATCTCTGAAGTAGGCTTTTTTGAGGCCTGGTTTCATGAATACTGGGGTTGTTTCGGTAGACACTCAAGCTTCCTCGCCCTTGGAATCACCATGGTTCTCCTCGGCATATCAACGATAGGATGTTTGAATAGAGAAGACATGAACAAGGACACAATCGGCTTCACCTTCTGGCAACTTGTTCTAGGCGCCGGCATTATCACCATTGTGTTTGGATTTGTTAACATCGCCGTAGTATGTCCTTCCCCCTTCCTCTAAAGCTGTGTCCTGTCTCAGACTCTTTTGACTCCCAATAACTTACCATCACCAACCACACCTCCACATAGACCTTCATCTACCGAACCAAAAAAACAGGCTTAAAAGCCCGCCACATCCGCACTGACGGTGCCGTCGCCCCGGGCGCCATCCCTTCACTCAACAACCTCAGCCGCGGGCACAAATCCTTCAGACTGAAACGCGAGGACTCCCTACCTGTCTACCGCGAGAGCGACGATGCACTCTCGCAATCAAAATACTCACGCTCCTTGCGCTCGCCCATCAGCACCACCCCTTCCATGCGTACCGTGCCTTCTAAATATCGGGTGAATATTTCCCAGCCCATCGTTGAAAATCACGAACAGTTCGAGAAGTTTTCTAGGAGTTCAGGGGGGAGCCACCCGGAGCATCCGGCGAACAACCCTGTGCGTCTTTCTACACGTCGATCGGATTGGGATGGCAGTGATATATGACACGTTGAGGAAGCTAGGCGGCGCCAAAAGTACAGAGCAAATTGAGAGGTGATATGAATTATGAGGGGAAGGAGAGGGAGCTAGCGATGACGCTCTTACTGTCTTACTGTCCCTCCTATCGAGCTACATCGATCTTGAACTTTTCTTGTGTATTTGTATTGGGCATTTTTCCCTTTGTCTTTTGTGATTTTAGAGCGCGTGATGTATCTGTCTTTATCCGTCTGGACATGTTTGCGAGTTGTGGCGTAATTTCGGTAGCCTTTGGTTTCCGCTGGCGAAGGTTGGGATTTGTATGCTGTTCATAATTGTGACACGTTCGGGGCTTTGTCTATGTAATCATGGGTGTCAACTACGCTTCATTTACAGTACAATTTTAGTATTACAGTTGTTCCTGGTGAATGTTCACTTTTTCATCTCCGTTTTCGTCGTAAATTGCGTACACTCATCTTCCACGCGGCTAAGATAGAATCGTACAGTTCAAGTACGGGTACAACCTGAATAAAGATGAAAAGCATTCAATTCTATTGTATTTTGTATATCGAACTATACCAACCCCTCTTATCTAGATAACCCAATAAAAAAAAACCGCATAGAGAAACAGAAAAACCAAAGTAGAAAAAGTAAAACAATCCATCTTAACTTCCATTCCCATCCCTATCACCACTATCATGATCATCATCATCCCCCCTCTCCAACCCGGCCGTAACCCCCTCAACATACGAAGAAGCCTCAACCCCCAACTGCCCAATATCAACCACATCCCCCTTGCCCCCCGCATTTCTCTTCTGCATAACCCTCCTCATAGCCCTAACAACCTCCTCCTCCTCCCAAACACTCCCTCCTTCCCCGACCCCTGATGTTCCCAACGACGAACCGCCGCAAGAACCCTCCATGGCCACCACAGCCGTCCAATACGCGTCATCCGTCGCTTTCAACCCGCGATCCCGCACCGTCGCATTCCGCACGACGCTGACCGCATGAACTTTCGCCGTGGCGCTGGCTAGGGTCGCTGAGACGTTCGCGACGAGTTCCTCTGCGACCTCTGCCGGGGTTGGTGGTATGTAGAAGAATCTATTCGTGCCCGCGAGGTAGATGGTGGCGGCGGCTAGGGCGTCGAAGATGGTGAAGGAGAGCAGGCGGAGGGTGGTGAGGCGGTTGTGGAAGCTTGTGGGGATTTCGTGCGGGTTTAGAGGAGGGGATGTCTTGTGCGCTGTTGCATTGGAGGTGGAGGTAGGGTTATAGAATGCGACGAGTAGAGTTTCGATGAGGAGGAGGGAGAGGGCTGTCAGGGTGAATTTGGAGCGGAAGCGGCTAGCGCTACGCCCTGTGAGCGGGTTTGAGGTTACAAGGCCTATTATTAGGAGGTGGAGGAGGTGGGGGAGGAAGGTGTGTAGGGGTAGGTAGTAGAGGAGGTATGTTGTTTCGTCACCCGGGGTGCAGAAGGGGCAGTTTAGGAGAGTTTCTGGGCCGTAGCGGAGGTAGAGCTTCCGGGAGGCTTGGGAGGTGAACTTTGCTTTTAGCTGGGTGTCGAGGTTTGTCAGGGTGTTGTTCGGGCGGAGGCGGGCGAGGCGAGCGAAGAGGAGTTCTGTCGGGGTCGTCAGGCGGGACTGGGTGAGGGCGAAGATGTTTGGGGACGGGGCGTGTGGGTTTAGACCCGTCCAGGCGGGGAGGGAGAGGAAGAGGAATAGAGAGGTTGTGACGAAGAGGATGTTCAGTGCGACAGCTGCTGAGGATGGCAAAGGCCGTGGTGGCTGTGGTCGTTGGGTGAGCGAGGAGCGGATAGAGGAGTAGAGCGATCTCGCCTTGCGGAAGAGGAGCGGGGAGAAGAAGATCAGGAGGGTTTTGTAGCTAGAGATTTTTTGTTTAGTTTAGATTTGACCAGAGAAGATAGATTGGAGAAGACATACGTATCGTAGTTACCCATGATGACGATGGCGGGTGGCGGAGGCCAGCTCGCGAGAGGTAGAGAGAGAGAGAGAGGGAGAGAGAGTTGTTGGAGTTGGAGAGATGTCCGGATTAGAGCCGAGAACTAGAGACAGAAGCGCTTCAACAAAGAACAGAAAAGACCTATCTATTTCACATTAATTATAATAAATAGTAATTATTATTATCCTTGATATAGAAAATGGCGATTCGTACAAAAGAAATGCAAAGTCGTCCGAGACCTTAAATTGAGCACTGCTATATGTGTACAGTACTGTTACTGTGAGTACAACTTCTTCGGCGCTTAAACCGACAAGGATGATGATATCATTCTTGTCCAGAACTTAAGAGCCAGACAGAGCTTGCGTCTACAGTATATAACCCGCTACAGGTTTAAAAAACAAAGCACAAGCAATTTCCTTTTTCATGGAATAGCTCTAGGTACACCAGAGATAGCCGCGCGTTGTCCTGTGTTTCGAATGGATGAGGGATGAGATCTAAATGTGCGTGAAGTGGAATGAATGAATCTTCACTGAAGAAACTCCTCTTTTTATTTCATGATAAATCAAAGGGTCCCATCACCCACCATACATATATCTTCCTCAACGCCCGTAATCGTAATCTGTAAAGTAGATAAATTTGAGAGAGTGGTTCATTTGGGCCGGGGCGTAAAATTCATATCTACAGCGTAGATGTACTCCTGTATACTGTAAGGTAGACAACACTCCCATGAACCAAGAGGATGCGGGAATATCAAACTAATATCCTTCATGGTCTCTGTGATGTACCACTGCGCAAGGCATGATGGATACATATCGAACTGCTGCTTAACCAATATGTCTGTGTTGGAGTTATTCTTGATATAAAAGCCCTTGCCCAATGAATGGGGCGCACGAATTTGGCTCACTTACGCGAACCTAAAGATGTGTCCAATCAGGACATCAGGATAGCGCAAGTGTGTCCGGGATCCCACCTAGTCTGGCGTCGGGACGGCGGCGGCGAATTTTGCTTGAACTAGCTCGTCAAACCAAGGGACAAGCTGCGGGGGCCTTGCGTGGCTGGGGGTCCCTCTCCCGTGAGTATTCCAAGGTTTGTGTTCAGGGCATTCAGGTACGGGGTGCAGAGATGTTGGAACGCTATGCTGTGTCCTTGTGCAGCGTTATTTGTACGCTCTGATATGCAGGGGCGGTTGAGAACAGCGTGGATTGAGTTGGAGAAGGGAGAGAAGTCGATCAAAGATATTAGATGAAGAAACCACGCAAGCCACATTTTTTTCCGCACGGGAGGGATGAAGCAACTAGAATTTGAGAATTTGATCAGATCCAGATACGAGTTATAGATAGCTAGAGGGGTAAACCTTGTCCGAACCAGCAGGACAATTCCTCATTCCTCAGATATTGATGGTAGATTCAGCTGCAAACCCTCCATGACGCCGGTGGACAGGATGCAGCTAATAAGCAACCGAGGCTACAGGCGGCTGGTCAGATGAACAGAGGCATGCAACTTGACGTCTTCTCGTCTTCATAGCGCGTGGTCAATTGGGCGAGAGTGATTGGGAATTCGGCGAGAGGATGCAAAAACGAAGACGGCGATGAGAGAGGGGAAAGGCGGGATGGGTGATGTTGGTTTTGTTGAGGAGCAGGTACCTGTACAAGATTTTGCACTGAAGCAACGCTTCTGGGCGTGTACCGGTACCCAACTCCGCATTCAACAGTATTCCGTATTCCATGGCAGATTGACCGTGTTAGTCTGAATAACTGAAGACTCAAGAGGATTAAAGATGCCAAAATAGTTCCATTATTCCATAGTTATATTTCCGTACTCAGCTTGTACGTGTATTTGTGCTTCATCCAATTTTTAGAGACCAAGCCAATGAGATAAATATTAAAATAAATACTGAAGAATATTTAAACAAATAAATAAATGCAAGACGTTTTGGTTTTGCTATGGAATCTATCTACTAAATACTCTATTTACTTCCCAGCCCAATCTCCCTTTTTTTTTTTTTTTTCCCCTTTTTCATTGTATGTAAATAAGTTAAAGCTGTCTGGTTTGGTTGCTGAGTCTGCCGCTGTTGGTGTTGCTGAGTTGCGTGCGAGTCCAAGTCCACATCCACATCCGCTTCCACTTCCAACTTCTCCTATTTATTTAAATATCTTCATCTCTGTTTCATCTCCTTTCGGTTCCTTGTCTACACCCTCTCCCCCGTCCCTCTCCACTCGTTTGTCCGCCTTGTTGCTGTACGTGTTCGTCCTCTGGCTGGATGTTCCATTCTCTCTTGCTAAATAACCTAGCTTGAACACCTCCAGAGCTCTCTCTCTCCCTGTCCAGAAAACTTTCCGAGGGTTTCACACTCCACAACGCCTCACCAGGAACGAGATCCCACAATCCAGACGACGAAAAATAACCACCTCTTCCATCCCCTCTCCAACGACTCCATCCCCATTAATATACACTCAGGCGATTTACTAGCTTCGATATCGTCGGTGTCCGCGACCAATTGGCCCCGAAATCTCAGTCTCGTCGCTCCGCTCGCGGGTAGTTTCCCTCCCCGCGTCCGCAGGCGACACTTATAACAGAAGCTCCACCACAACTGCTTGCGCACCATATTGCCCGTTCGAACGGCTCTCTGTAGCTGGGCGGTTATCGCCACGGCTACCCTTTCTATACAATGGTGAAGACCCTCTCCAGCCAGCCCAATTCAGTTTCCGAAGTCAATGCCTGTGTTTCTCCCATGGAAGGCTGTCGGGCGGCCAAGATGAAGCCAAAAGAGGAGACCAATTTTCGACAATGGGTGCTGCAAAATCAGATAGGTAAATATAAACTCTACCCTCTTATCTATTTGATATCCCATTATTCAAACACTGATACAATTATGTCTGTCTGTATATAGGTATCTGCATCACCATCCTCACAATGATATTCGCCCTGCACAATCTCTATCCATCTCTAAGACCGTACACCTCCCCTTTCCTGCAATTACCGCACTACCAGCCTGAGAAGGGTACATATGTCCAGGGTTGGGATGATCTTTATTTTGCCATGGGAGGCGTTCTGGCATTCACTGCCGTCAGGGCGATCGCTGTCGAGTGGATCTTCCAGCCCCTTGCCCGAAGATACGGTCTGAAGCATAAGGCCGCCGTCCGGTTGGCGGAACAAGGCTGGCTTCTTGTTTACTATTTTGGTTTCTGGACTTACGGAGTGGTAGGTTCCTACTATTTGTTTATGTGTCTCAATGCGCGGCCTTCTTTTCATTGCATTGTTGAATTTTGAATCTCCTGCCACCCCCCCCTCCTCCCCCCCCCGGGGGGGGGGGGGGGGGGAAACACACACAAACATCAAAATTTCCTCTCAAAAGATAGGAAAATGCTTTGCTAATTCTGTTTTAATCCCTTTGCTTTTTATAGTGCCTTTGGTACCATTCTAAATACTGGAATAATTTCCGCGAGATATGGACCGACTGGCCTTCCAGAGACATCTCCGGCGTCTTCAAGTGGTACTGCCTGACACAGCTGGCGTTCTGGTTCCAACAGATCATCGTCATCAACATTGAGGAGAGGCGGAAGGATTACTATCAGATGCTGGTTCACCACATCGTCACAAGCACTCTTTTAGGCTCTGCTTATGTCTATGGCTTCTACAACGTCGCCAACGTCGTCCTCTGTATCATGGACATCGTCGATTTCCTGCTGCCGGTAAGACGCACATTTCCACTTCTACCATGGGGAATCAACCTGTCAACAGTCTAACCGGTAAATAATAATTATAGGCCGCAAAAATCCTTAAATACCTCGGATACGAACGCGCCTGCACCGTAGGGTTCATAGTCTTCCTCGTCACCTGGGTAATATCGCGCCACATCATCTACAACCTCCTTTGGTGGTCTATCTACGTCAACGTCCCCGACGTTATGCCCTACGGCTGCTACTCCGCCACGACAACGAAGATGATCTCACCCGCTGCCAACACCACCCTGGACAACGGCGCCGCATCCATAGACCTAAACAACTGGAACCACCTCCTCCACCCATTCCAAGACCTGGGCGGCCGCATCTGCATGAGCCCGCGCATCAAATGGGTGTTCCTCTCTTTCTTGCTTTTCCTACAGATCCTCGCCCTTATATGGTTCACGATGATTCTGCGTGTGGCTGTTAAGGTGCTGAAGAGCGGGTCAGCGGAGGACTCACGGAGCGATGACGAAGGGGAGGAGGAAGAAGAAGTGAATTCGGAGACTACGAGGATGGGTGGAAATGGGACAATTGCTGGTGTTCGTGATGGGATTAATGGTAATGGGACCGCGATCGTTTCGGGCAGTTCTACTTCATCGTCAACCGCGCAGGGTCATCATCCTGTGCGAATTCGGACGGGTCGGGGCCGGGTTACGTTGAGTGATCAGAATGACCGGAAAGCGTTGTTGGGGCGCATTGGGTGTGATAAACCCTCATGAAAATGGGTAAAATCTATTTCCCCCCCTTTTTCTACGAGCACATTTTTTGTTCTTTTTTTTCAATTTGGTTCGATTTGATTTAATTGAAGATGAAAACCAGATTTCTGCAATATCTAGTTCTCTTTTTTATATATTTTGTTTCTACATTCTGATATTTCTTTTCCTGCTTTTCTTTCATACCCTCACTTTATTTTAATCTGCGCTGTTAGTATCAGTCACATCTATTTACTTCCTGATTCCTGCTTGTACCCATTTCCGTCTTCCTTCCTTTCTTTTTATATTCTAACAGGCCTCTTTTACATCACTTACCATGCCTGCATCATGAATTCCCTTCCGTTTTGCTGCTAGCTTTACCCCGCCATTCACACCATGAAAGACCTTGCTTGACCTTTTCCCCCTTCTCAACCTCCCTCCACAGACTAACAACAGGTCCGTCATTTTGTTTACACAAATTTGAGGGATTATTCATGCCTGATCATGTTTTCTCCATACATACATACATTGATGTCCAAATGACTTCCCCACGTTGCAGCTCTGTTGTTATATCGGCTCTGATCATTGGTATGGTTTATCGTTTGTCTAAATCCAGGGGATGGGATGAGTGAAGAATATGCTGGGATGGATGATATGACCAGAGAGTTTTTCCTATTTTGTTTAAACGTTCAATATGCACACCTATTCTGTTTTGATTTTGATTTTCCGCTTTGTTTTTTTTGTGTTTATTACTTTGCTCGCCCAGATACCACCCTTTTTAAACGGACATATTATATATACCCAGCTAAGTAGGTTTTGTTAGATTTTTTTTTTTTTTTCCGCCCTTCTTTTCGTTCGATGTTGCTCAGATGAGGATTTATGTGATTTAGCTACAGAAGACTGAATTGAGCTTGATTACTTCTAAAAGAGTGTCTGTAGTTTTCAGCTGCCCACATATTTGAGATTTTATTTAACTATATCATGGTCACTACTGGCCAGGCTGTTATCTGTATGTACAGTACATTGTCTCTGAAATTCCCTAATGATGAGATATATATATATATATAAGATTTTATATTCTCAAACTCTCTCCTTTAATAACAGATGTCTAAAGATTTCTAATATAATAGTATTCAAACGGAAAGTATCATATATTTCTCAATAAAGTCATTAAAGCTCAACATAGTCTTCTTTACTTAGCTCTCTACAATGCAAGAGTATGAACGGTTTGATAAAACATAGGAGGTTATTTTACTAATTGAGGGGGCAGACATCTATTAGGGACATATGTAAGAAGCCTATAGTATAGGCCTTAACTGTGCGTAAATTTCAGTGCGCGCGATGGATATCTATACTGATATCATTTGAGAGCATATCAAAGTGAGAAGAGACGGCGGTTGTGAGAGAGAAGAGCTTCATTCATAGCCATGTTTTCGTTCGTTTGCGCCTCTCAAATATCCCGACACTGTTCCGTTCATAGTACTGAGCAGAAGGGGTGGCGCTCACGAAACTCTACGGTATATACATATAATACATGATCCGCCCAATGTACATGTACATGTACAGTGTAATAATATATCTGTCTGTCTGTCTGTGATAGCCATTTTCGAGACATCAACAGTCAACCACCCTTCCCCTACATACCACCCAACCGCCCGCCCCAAAGGGCAAAAAAAAAAAAAAAAAAAAAAAAAAAAAAAAAAAAAACCCAAAAAAAGAAAAAAAAAAGAGAAAAAGAAAAAGAAAAAGAAAAAGAAAGGTAAACCAGCCCCTTTTATAAATCAGACTCCAGCAATCCTGTCATATACTGATTCCCACGGAACCAATCCTGCAGCGTCGGAGGCATCATCTCCCCCACACCTGCACCATCAGCTGGTACCTGCTGGCCAGCTGCTACACCTAGCGTACTACCGCTGCCCATACCAGTGTTGATATTATTATTCATCATTCCTCCAGCCGGAGGGCCGAAACCCAATTCCCACAGATAGCTATCGACTTCATCCGCGCCCCATTGCATGTCCATTTGCTGACTAGCATATGCAGTCGCGTCGTCGATCGCTGATACACCAGTATCCCCATAGTTAGCACCAGGATTAACATTAGCACCCTGCTGCTGTAGCTGCTGGAACTGCTGCTGCTGCTGCTGCTGTTGTTGGTGCTGTTGTCCTTGTTGCTGCTGCTGCTGGCCCTGCCCCTGCCCCTGCCCCACCCCCCCCTCCCTCATCCTTACATCAACATACAACCGCGCAACCTGATAAAACACGGCACAGAGCTTACAAAGCCTGTCCGCCGCCTCGGAAATGTGGCGCGCTGACTCCAGCGAGCTGGAGACTTCCCCCAGTAGCTTCAGGTCGGCCAGATCCGCTGTGGCGATCGTGTGCGTGAACAGCACTAAGTAGGGCGTGAAGGGCGAGTGCAGGAGCGACCAGACGATATATCCTCTGAAGAGATAGTCGCTGGCCTTTTGGAAGTCGACGGTGAATTGTTGGTGCAGGCGCAGGGCGCTGCGGGCGGAGTTTACGCAGGCGGGATCAAGATAGGTGGAACCCTTTGGGGGGCTTTGGTTTTGGTGCTGGGGCTGGTGCTGATGCTGACTTTCGTGCTCTGGTGGGGGTGGAGGCCTTGCGCGGAATATGATGGTGAGGAGGTGGTGGTAGGAAAGATCGGCCATGGAGGAAGCGTAGCGGAAGAATGTGGCGTGGTAGGCTGTGAGATCCGAGTCTGGCTGCTTTGGATGCAGGATTTAGTAAATATAACCAGGAGATCACACCGGGGCTAACGAGATTTTCGCCGGAGAGGGGCGAGAAGATCGAAAACTCACCGGAACATATCCAACTCTCCACTTCTCTACCTCCATTGCTAGATTGTACGTTCTCTCCGCCCGTACCTCTGCGCTCTCCGATAACGCCTTCGCCGAATACAACTTCTCAAATATCTGCGCTGCAACCTTCGCATACGTCACCCACACCTCATACATCGAGTACCAGGGACCAAATTTGGGATCTTCTGGCGGACTTGGAAAGTCAAGGGCAATATCGTAGTCCTGCAGTGTTGAGCTACGGCCAAGCGATAATGTTAGGTCTTTATCCAGTACGTAAATAAACCAAAATAAGGACTTTCTCTGATATTCTTCCTTTTCGCTGACGCCTGGGCCGGAGACGCTGTGGTGATATCCTAGGCTCTGGCACATGCGGGCAGCAGCGCTGACGAAGGCCCAGCATAGGGATGGCTTGGAGGCCTCGGTGGCATGGAAGGCGGCTAGGGCTAAGGCCTGAGTGTTTTCGTAAGACGGCTGGAGAAACAGGTCGAAGGTGTTGAGGGCTGTTTCGAAGTTTGAGCGACACATGTTGGAGTAGTGGGCAAGACCGCTAGGCATCAGGGATGTTAATTCCGGCGGTGGTGGTACCTGTTGTTCATGGCGGCGGAGGTTGTCGTCCCGGTGGTGGGAGCCTGGTAAAAAATAATGCAGCTCTTCAAACATGTAACATAGCGTACAGTTTACGATGGCAAAGTGGGCGGCAGAGTACTCCTCTGTACAGAAGTATAAGTCCTTGCAGAATTTGGTGATAGCAGGGAGGTCGAGGAAGGGGAGATTCAGGAGGAAAAAGGGGTGCGATGCTGAGATCAATTAGTAACTATGCCATTTCCGCGCATAAGATGGATAATGGAGAGCAAAAATATTGAAAGCACACCCTTTGCATTCTTCAGTACAGCCAGCACCACCTCCAGCGGCGGCATCTCCAGCTTGGAAAGATCAGCATGGGTGGAAGCCGGTTTTTGTCCTGCAAACCGCAACGTATGAACCGAAGAAGGAAGCTTCTGTCTCTCAACAATATCCTTTAGGGCTGCGAGCGCATGCATCATCTCCGGACTATGTTCTGCAAGGGGTGTTTTCACTACCACCTTCTCAAACAGCTCGCTGGCGTGCGCGGAATGTGCACTCATGGACGGTTCTCCTTCAAACTCAGGATTTGTCGTGTTGCTATGGGTAGATTCTGCGCTTGATACCGTGGCAGGGACAGTTGCTGCCTGTGATGGTATCCGTTTCTGCTCTTTGCGTTCTTCGTGGAAGTCATTGGAACTGGACACGCGGGATCGCAGTTCCTCCTGTTGTTGTTGTAGTAGTTGCAATGGAGACTTGTTATTGCTACCGTGATTGAGGGTAAGGTCCCGCAGGAGATTTTCAATTCCAGCTAGCCGCTGGTCTATGATTTCGATCTTTTTCTCACTGTTCAAGCCTCGCTTTTAGTATTTGCTCGGAATATATAAGTACCTAATCAAGTACCCAGCGGGAGAACAAAAGTTAAAATTCTAAAATAGCATACTATTGATGTGAAATCAGGACCCTCTGTCGCTGTTCCCTCACCCGCGGAGAGGTTCGACAGACGGATTTTGCAATTCGACAGTTGGAGCAAGGAGCACCCCGATCACATTTAATCTTTCATGAAGCAAGGCAACTAGGTAAGCATATGTAATGTCTTTTATATTATGATATTGAACTAAGTATTGAAATCGACCAACCTTTCGAATGCGGCAGTTGTCGCACTGTATTTGTTCCCCTTGTTAGCAGGAGGTATTGCAAAACTCCAGTTTTTACTTTGACCCCGCAGAGGTACAGCGTAAGAAGAGGATTTATTATAAGTATAAGGAGGGGCTATAAGCGGGACGAAGGGGCATGTCTCCGCAAATACATGTGAGAGTACCTACCGCACGAGAGGCGGAAGGCTCCTGGCCGAGCGGCACATCGCCTTTGTCGATTTCCATTTTCCCTTGATGGTAAGGGGATAAATAACTTATCAATAACAACAATAGAGCTATGGGGGTTTCGGGTCAAGCTCCAGGCCCAGATCCCTTACGCGCGGGGAGGGTAACTTAGCAGGTAGCTTGCTAGCTTGCTTGATAGTGTGGCTGCCAGTTAGCTCAAGCCAGGCAGAGCAGTCCTTCGGCATATACTATGCATGGTGGTCTCATTTAGCTGTGGACGTTTCGATCAGAGAACACAGGGGAAGCTGGCCGACCATCGCAAATCGCAAGAATCACCAGCATGATTCTGGTTTTGCAGTCACACACACCCAATCTGGAACTGTGGAGGGAGGGTTTTGATGGTTTTGATATCTCGGGTCCCGCGGGCGCCGACACCTGAGGCTGAGTCGAAAACCGGCATAGTGGGGCTTGGCGATTTGCTGCCTTGCCAGGCCCTGATTGGCTGTGGAGGAACATTCGGGCCGGGGTGGTCTGGACGCCGAGAGTCATTCCGGACTCAGGAGGCTCTAAGAACAACGTCGCTGTTCGTGTTTGGTTAAGGGGGAGCATGTAACCAGCAAACTGGCGCAGAGAGAGAGAGGGTCTATGACGCTGCCCCCGGGACTTGAAATTGCCAAATACGAGACGGAAACATATCTTTCCATTCCCATGAAGAATCCCTGGTCTAATCATCTGGACCAAGACAGCGCGTGTGCGCGCTGCCCTCGGGTTCCGTAGCTCTATGGGTGGGAGCCGTGACAAGAAAATTAAAAATGTTGCCTGGTGACTAGAGCTTCCGTAGCTAGCTTCATTTTGAGGGCGAGAGCCACTGGGCAGAGAAAAAAAAAAATATTTAGATAGGCGAACCCCAGATTTGACATTCAGAAATTCCAGCATAGCTCTCAATTCGAATGTCAACGACTTTTTCGTCATGTCGCCTGAAGAAAAGCCGCCGTCGTCAGCACAAAGCTCGGATGGCGAGACCAAGGAGGAGAAGTCACAGGAGGGGGGGATGGGACATTTAATTGTGAGCATCCGTGTAACATCCATCTATGGCAACCTCTGTCTGTATAGATCTAATATAGAAACAAAATAATAGCGGGTGTTTTCCTATACGGACTCAAGTTCCTGGGCACTCTATGGTGTTTCTTTCATCGCAGCCATCGCAGCTGGCGCTGCCATGCCATTGATGACCCTGGTATTCGGTGGGTTTGTAACTACTATTACGGATTTCTCTATGGGAATGGCATCGCCAGACGAATTCCGTTCAGAAGTGAACAAGCTTGCGTGAGTTTGAGTTCTGATTGTTTTGTCCAAATCGGGAGACATTTTAGAGCTAATCATAGGAAAGGCTTTGGTTCATATACCTCTTTGTTGGCAAGTTTGTTCTGACCTATATCTTCACGGTACGAGTATATCATCTGCTCTCGATCACACAACACAAACCTATATATATATACTGACGTCTTAAAGGTGGCTATTACGATTGCTGGAATAAGAACTACCAAAACTCTCCGTGTGGACTTCCTGGAAAAAACCCTCCGCCAGGATGTCAACTTTTTTGATTCCTCAAACCAAGGGGCTACCGCAATGCATGTAACAACAAACGGGAATCTTGTTAATCAGGGCATTGCTGAGAAGCTGGCCTTGACCGTTCAAGCCACCTCGACCTTCTTTGCTGGGTTTATTATAGCTTTCGTTGCCCAGTGGAAGTTAACCTTGATCGGAATATGTATTATTCCAGTGATCATCGTGACTATGGGGGTTTGTATCGCGGTCGATACAAAGCAGGAAGCAACAGTGCTAGGATTCTACAACAAAGCTGGTGCATTGGCGGAAGAAGCCTTCTCGAGCATTCGGACGGTTCAAGCCTTTTGGGCGCAGCCGCGTTTGGCGAAATCGTACAATGAGTACCTGCAGCTTGCGCATCTAGAAGGGAACAAGAAGTCTCCCAATTATGGTGTCCTGTTCTCAACCGAATTCTTTTGTACCTACTCCGCCTTTGGTCTAATCTTCTGGCAGGGGGTCAGATTTCTGTCAAGAGGAGAAATTGATGATCCCGGGACTATAGTCACGTACGTAAATTATCCCCTACCTCCTTCAACTTGATTGCTCTCCACATTCTCGCTAACCTAAAACATAGGGTATTGTTTTCCATTATCATATCGGCAAGTGGAATTTCACAAATGGCTCCCCATACCATAGCTTTCAGTAAGGCAGCTTCCGCTGCTTCAGAGCTCTTTAAAACAATTGATCGCCCCTCTGAAATTGATCCCTTATCGGAGGATGGTATTCGCCCAACCGAATTGAACGGAGATATCGAAATCAAGGATGTGCATTTCTCCTACCCTTCGCGGGCTGCTTTTCCCGTTCTGACCGGCTTAGACCTTCATATTCCAGCTGGCAAAACTACTGCATTGGTTGGTCCAAGCGGGTGTGGCAAAAGCACAATTATTGCACTTCTTGAGCGCTGGTATAACCCATCGAGCGGTACCTTGACTCTCGATGGTCAAAACATTGATCAACTCAACCTCCATTGGCTTCGGACGAAGATCCGGCTTGTTCAACAGGTATAATATCCTACCATCCGAACATATTTGGAATATGAGCTAATTACCCTAGGAACCCGTTTTATTCAATGGAACAGTCTACCAAAACGTTTGTCACGGCCTGGTTGGAACAGAATCAGCGCACATGCCAGAATCCGAGAAGATGGAGCTTGTTGTCGAAGCTTGTAAGCTAGCAAACGCCCATGACTTCATCGAGGAATTACCAAAGGTAGGAAGCCCATTCAGGAAAGAAAACTATTTTCAACTTTAACTGAGACTCCTGGTAGAGTTACCACACCGAAATTGGAGAGAGGGCAAGCATGCTTTCGGGAGGCCAAAAACAACGAATCGCTATTGCTAGGAGTATAATATCTAATCCGAAGGTCCTTCTCCTTGACGAAGCAACGAGTGCTTTGGACCCACACGCGGAGAAGGCTGTTCAAGGAGCAATTGACAGGGTCTCCGAAAATCGCACCACTATCGTCATAGCCCATAAGCTTGCTACAATCAGAAACGCGGATAACATTGCGGTCATGGCAGCGGGCAAAGTTATTGAACAAGGGACTCATGATGAACTGGTCGCAGCTGGCGGCGCATACGCGCATCTTGTCGGTGTTCAGGATCTTGGCAGCAAAGCAGATGGTGAACCAGGGGAAGAAGGATTTGAGGCAGCGGAATCTGTTAAGCCAGCGGAGCGTCGTATCTCGTTGATGCGAACAACGACAACCAAATCTTCCATACGACCTGCGGATGCCCCCGCGGAGGTATCTGAGCGCCCACTTTATGCGATGAAGCACAGCCTGTTGAAATGCTTATTCGTATTTTTGAGAGAGCAAGAAGGGACGAGATTTCAGTATTTTCTTGTCGTGATATCTTGTGTCGTGGGTGGTAAGTACATCCATCACTCCGTTGCCCCCTTCAAAGCCTTGATCTAACTTTGCGACAACAGGTATAACGTTCCCTGCCCATGCAATTCTGTTCTCGCGTCTGGTTTCTGTATTCACACTTGAGGGCCTAGCCATGGTAGACAGGGGAGACTTTTTCTCTCTCATGTTTTTTATTGTCGCAATCGGAAACCTGTTGGCTTACTTCATGCTGGGATATGTTTCAAATCGTATTGCCCAGGTTCGTTGAAGACTGAAGCAAGATGTTTCTCCATATGCATATTGCTAACTTCCAATGGCAGGTTGTTACCCACCGATTTCGCTCGGAAATATTTGAAACAATCCTCGGACAGGATATGGAATTCTTCGACAAGCCAGAAAATGCTGTTGGTTCTTTAGCCTCCAGCTTGACCACCAAACCGACACAACTACAAGACCTCATGGGATTTAACATGCCCCTAATGTTAATCGTGGTCGTTAATTTAGTCTCGAGTTGTATCCTTGCACTTATTGTCGGATGGAAATTAGCACTGGTCACCATATTCGGCGGCTTGCCGGCTCTGCTGATCTGTGGGTATCTTCGCATCCGACTTGAAATGAAATTCGAATCTCTTACGGGCGATCGTTTTGCGAAAAGTGCAGCACTCGCAAGTGAAGCCGTCTCATCTATCAGAACCGTGGCGTCATTGGCACTCGAAAACCATATTCTCACAAAGTACCATGACAGTATGAATGGAATTGTCAAGGGCTCCATACGGAACGTTCTATGGACAATGCTTTGGTATAGTTTGGCACAGTCGATTGAATTCCTTGTGATGTGCCTCGGGTTCTGGTAAGCGTTTTAAATGCATAAATCTCCTCTCGTTTATGTCGGCTGCGAAATGCTAAGCAATATTTTCCTTCAGGTATGGGTGTCGCCTTGTATCTTTTAGAGAATATTCTACAAGCCAATTTTTCATCATCTTCATCGGAGTTGTTTTCAGCGGGCAAGCGGCCGCTCAGTTTTTCGCATATACTACCAGTAAGCCACCCTGCTTCTAACTACGATTCTACCTTGTTTTTTTTGTAAGGACCTGGCAGCTGAATCTGTATTAAAAGGTATAACAAATGCCCACATCGCGGGAAATTTCATATTTTGGCTGCGCAGTCTCAAACCTAAGATCCAAGCTCGTGACGATTCGGTCGATCCGGATCTCAACAAGAAACCGCACGGGGACGGTCTCCTTGAACTAGAAAATCTCGAGTTTGCTTATCCGCAACGCCCAGACGCTCGTGTGCTTCGCGGAATAAATGTTACTGTTAGTCTATCCCTTGTTTACCATCGACAACATACATCTATCTAACCGAACCAATCGAAAATCTAGATCCAACCAAGCTCCTTTGCTGCATTTGTCGGGGCATCGGGCTGCGGTAAATCTACCATAATCTCCCTTCTAGAACGCTTCTACGACCCCAGCTCCGGCTGCATAAAATTCGACGAGCACGACATCTCCCAACTATGTCCACGCGAATATCGCCGGGGCGTCGCTCTCGTTCAACAAGAACCGACTCTGTACCAGGGCAGTATCCGCGAAAATATTGCCATGGGCTTAGAAACGGAGGCAACACAAGAACAGATTGAGGAGGCAGCTCACCAATCAAATGCATTCACCTTCATCTCCTCCCTGCCGGACGGTTTCAACACCCTCTGCGGCTCGCGGGGGACACAGATGTCTGGCGGCCAGAGGCAGCGGATCGCCATTGCCCGTGCGCTAATCCGTGAGCCGAAATTGCTCCTGCTCGATGAAGCAACGTCTGCTCTTGATACAGATTCTGAAAAGATAGTTCAGGAAGCGTTGGAAAAGGCGTCATCGGGCAGGACAACGGTGGCGGTTGCACATCGTCTATCGACGATTAAAGATGCTTCCGTGATCTTTGTATTCGGAAGAGGAAAGGTTTTGGAATCTGGGACACATGCACAGTTGTTGGCCAAGAAGGGGATTTATTACGAGATGTGTCTGGCACAGTCGTTAGACCAAAATATTCCGCATAAAGAGGGGTAGATGGGTTCTAGATTGGGGCCTCGGTCGTTTCATAGCGTCCTGTTTAATTTCTTACTCGTTTTCTTTGTCCATATCCTCTAGTTATCCCTGCTTATTTTTCTCTTCCCTTTTTATTTTAATCTTTGCACAACACCTAGGTTAATCTCTTCTCCCTTCATATAGATCGGAATGTCATACTATATCTGAGATTTCCTTCACCTTTGTTCTTTCCGCCTTCTTACAGCTCACCTGCAACCTACCATACACAAAATACTTGCACGCCCGCTTGCTCAATCGCGAGACGAGTCGATATCTGTGTAGACGCAACTTTAATACTTTATAATTTCTATTATAATATGACGTGTAGAGTAGAATACTAAAACTTAATAGAATCATTCTAAAGTGCTTTTATATGAGTAGAATATCGCCTCTAAACTTTCCGAGATGAAGTGTAGAGTGGAATTAGCAGAAGAAATGCAGCGCCCTTGGGAGGGCGGAGGGCGGGGCTTTCAGGGGCAACACCAAAATGAGATAAAAAATGCATATCTGTTGAAAATAACAAGTTAAGAATGATACGAAGAAGTGCGCAGGTGTTATCTCTTCATTTTCTTCCTTTTCCAAAGTGCGAAGCAAAAACTCGTAGAACTTGAAACCTATATATTTTGAACCTATAAAAAGACTCAAGGCAAAACGCAATGCTAGAACGCAGGACATGCAAAAGGAGCAAAGGGACTTCACTGCTTTTGAAAGAAACGTTAAACTGCACTATGCACCTGAGCTACCGGTTGCCTTTTTATAAAGATTAATCAATTGCCACGAAAAGTCCAAAAAAAAAGTCACCCATATGCACATAAACTAATCTCAAAAATATCCGATAAAATAATCCATATCCTAAAAGGAAAGATTGTGCGAATATGTGGGGGAATCAAATCGTTACTTATCGTGAGGCATCACGGGTCGTGTTGCTGAGCCACTATAGAACTCCTGCCAGCGAATTATAAATGACACATAGAACGAGAGGGCAGATCAAAAATAATGCACTGTACATGTCATTCCCTTATCCTTCACGCGTTAAACATCTTTTGACAACGAAATCAGAGATAAGAACATGCTAAATAGGAAAATCGGCATTCGAAAGCCGCACGTTGGAAGGTATATCGCTGGTCGTTTCAAATTATCATAATTTGAAGCTTGACGGTTCGTAATCAGGAGCTGTTAATGGAAGCAGTGTGTGGTTCATATTTTCAGGATTGGGATCCATAGAAAAAACGGGAGGGCCAGTGTATAACGGCCCTAAGATGTCTCTCCGCATTTCATCTTCATCCCATCGCAAGCTAGGACGATTTTGTCGGGCGAGCGTTTCCGCTTCGGTAATCTGATAGCTCCCGATTCCACATTCCACGTGCGTGGTTAAAAACCCAAGCAGGGTACTGCGTAGATTGTCCCATGATGTCCCACCTCGTTTCCACTCGAGCTTCTTGGCTACACGCAACATTCGTGATACGAACCAGCTTCGCTCTCCTTTATCTGCAGGTTCGTTCGCCATGTACCCTCCATGTCCTAAGAATACCCATAGCAGTGACGAGATGCTAGGGGTTGAATGTGGATTAATTTTTTTGAGCTCCATTGTGACCCACTCAAGATAGTGGTCAAAATTACGTGAGGTAAAATAGAAGTCGTACAACGCAATGTTGAGATAAAGTAGACAGGCCATGCAGGAATACTCATCGATAAAGCGAATGTCACGGATACCGTGATCGTAATCAGGGAGAGTGGTAAGGATGGAATATAGAGGTGTTGACGGGTCAAAAAGATTCAGCCTCGGCCGTTGAAAGTCTTGACCCTGATGATGGAAGCTTTGGGAAGGAGGGACCGCACTAGTAATAAGTGAAAGTTGTAATTCATCGAGAGAGCAGAAAAATGTTAGGAAATCTTCACACGCTCGTAATGCACTCGATATTTCCTCCGGGTCCGTACCCATAGAGTGATGGAGTGGAGTCAGAGGAATATGAAGTTCGGAAGACAGGTATGGCAGACTCGAAGGTACCGTATCAGGTATATCGCCAGTCCAAGGAAGGCTAGCTCCCACGATAGCCCTTGGAGCGCTGCTGAAATCAACCCTATGAAGATTATTCAGCCATCAAATTGCAGACCAATTCAAATTATAACCTCCAACAGGTGCATACCAATAGAGGACACTTTCTAAGAAAGGGCTGGAGGCCCTCACACCACACATACCGCCACGGCGTCGCACTATTTGCCGGATGCCTTGATGATGCATGCGTTCAACTGCTGGGTCCTTGGACCATTTCTGTAATAAATCAGAATCGCACAATAAAAACGCTAGAACTTAAAACGGAGGTAATGCTGACTTCGATCACGGCCATAGTTGCAGCCGCGTAGATTGTACCATCATACTTTCCGCCTACGTCGCTCTGGAGGCGTTCGTTTAATAACCTCAAAGCTCGCATTTTGTGAGTCAGCGATTGAACAGACTCATTCTGACCCGCCGCACCAGTTAGGTGCTTTGAGGAAATGGCGAGCATCGCCTGGAATGGGACTGGGTCGTGCAAAGTCAAGTGATGGAATATCCCTTTAATTGGGTTGTCTTGATACGCATCGCCCATTTTATACATCATCATGGGGTATGTGGTGACGACTAATGTAAACGTGAGCAAGTAACATCTATCAAAAGCTGAGGCAGGGCCACTCACAATGGTGTATCAGATTTTGATCAGGTCGGGTCAATTTCAACGGGTAGCTGCTAAAAGGATCTAGATATCCTGAACCTGGCACTACGTTGAGGTTTGAAGAATGAATCTCCTGGAGGAATGTGGACATATGTTCATCAGTATCGTTTGTCATATTGTCATCATCATCTAGCTTAGGTGTGTGTAGTTCAGTTGAAACGACACGATCCCGACTCCAATCACTTGGGGTATTCTTGGTATCAACAGTCTTCTCATTCTTATCTAGCGACTCAATTCTCGACGAAGCCGGCGAAAGAAGGGTTGCGCTTGCGGAAGTGTTGCCCGCGTTCCAACTTCTAACCTGAGCGCGACTTGATTCCAGGCGTGCGATGCCGTCAAGACGCCGCTGGCGCATATACTGTCGCATCGCATGGCGTCGAACCTGCTTTCTGGACTCTGAGTCCGTGACCAAAACGAACTCGAAAGACTTGTTGGTACCTCCTTGCGGTTTGCTGGATGCCGATCTCGCTGCAGCACTCGGCGGCACATGTTGGGGAGCACAGGGAGTGGCGCGTGGCGCGCCAGAGGCCCTCAAGCGGTTGCTGTTACCTAAAGGGGTCGAGATATCAGAGCCATCCCCCTGGCCAGTCCCCGTGGCAATAGCTTTCCGCATGATGCCATCTTGCAGGGTAACTAAGTGTTAGCAAAGACGAGCTTAAGCTAATTAATTGGGCAAGGTAGTAGGAGATATGGTCCAATTACACGCCTATGAAAGCTACACAGAGGGACGAAGATGTTGACATACGATTGTTCATGAGATGGCACGGCCACCGGTGCAAGGAAAATCACTAACCACTAAGGCAGAGGTGTGGGAAACCGATGTGATTAGGGTAGAATAATAGTGATGGTTGACGTTTGTTTTTTTTTTTTTTTTTTTTTTTCGGCCAGTATGAAGCTCAAGATCGATTTCCCGACTGGGACAGGTGGAGAATATCCCGGCTGTGGGGAGAGTCACGTGGCAGCGCTAGCCCCAGGAATGCGGAGACGCTTGGAAAGTGGAGGGTTAATGTACGCAGTAAACGAGCGCAGCGCTTGGCAGAAACCGGAATCATGGCGGCGCTGATGTGACTTGTTGAGATTGCTGGATACTTAATCTAATCTAATTTTGGAGGAAAAAACAAAAAAGTATTTCAAGGGACAAGGTCATGGCGGGGCGGACATGTCCAAAGAGCTGGATATTTCATGGCTTGCATATGTGAGGCTATCTGGGGTTTCCTACCTATTTGTACATGTACTGTACATGTACAACGGCTTAAATGTACACTATCCATGTAGACTCTTCATCTTGTCTTTGTTAGTTCTGCCTCCGATGGCGAATTCTTAAATGTGGTGTTTTAATTTGACTGTTACGGTGATTGCGCGCGTTCAATCGCATTCAACTTCCCGACCCTAAGACAACATCTGATAACGACCTATGATATCAGAGTCCCAATGCCAGGTTCCAAACTCAAACAGAATTATGCCAGGGCTCCCATACAGACGTTCATCGCAAACGCGATATGATTTTGGGTATACATGAAATCTGCCGTGATTCGGCTTCAGCCACCGTTCTCTCGAAGTTTAGCGAGCGCTGCCATGACACCATCATTTAACTGCTCCTCGTGTTGATCTGAGCGGCGTATGCTTGATTCGGATTCATCCTCCTTTGAGGGAAGGTTTTCAAGTTCTGTATCATTTAGACCCTTCCGTTGATTTTTGTGAATCTGGCGTCCGGCATTCGCGGACAGCCGACTTGGCGCATCGCGATCGATTTCTTCGTTATGAGCAGCGAGAAACGCACTTTCTTCCTCAGTAAAATCCTCTTCCAGAGTCCTAGCTTCTCTGGTATTATCTATAGGCGGCTTTGCCCTCCGCTTGGCGGTCCTCCTTATCTGAAAATCATCTGTTACAGCATCATGCCACTGTTGGACCTTCCTTTCCCCCCATCCTGGAACTGCACTGATTTGCTCTGGCTGAGCGTTGACGGCGGCCTGTAAACTCCCGAATGTTGATATTAAGCTTGCCGCGTCCGATTTGTTGATACTTCTTGGAGCAGTAATGAACTCTACTAGGCTCTCGTTATATGACTGTGATTGCTGCGTGCGTATAGCAGTCGGTTGCGCGTGTTCGCAAGACTTAAAAAGTTCCAGATAGTGCCCTGCTTCAGCCGCAGACCAGCATAGAATCAATGTCAGATTATTGACGATTGATGTCTTTGATAATTCCCTAAGGCTGTCTTCGTGATTCGGAATATCGATCAGAGTTAAAAGAATGCGTAAATTGTACTTTCCCGCCAGGCCCTTGATTCGCGCATAGATGTATTCAGGGTGCAAACGGTAGTATTTTAACGATAGAAAGAGGACGCAGGTCGCGCTCCCCACGACGTAGTCTGCGGGAATGTCTGCATATTCCCAAGGTATGTGTCGCACATGGTTGAGAATTGGGTTCCCTCTTTGCCTTGCTGAAACTAGAATAGCAGAAGGGCCTGATCGGCTTGGGAGTGCTTGGGGTTTGGGTTGCTGGACTTTGGGTCGTTGATCTGAGGTTGTTGGTGCAGCAGAGCGCGGTAGGCTTTTATCAGATTTATTTGGCTGAAGCAACTCATCAAACTCTGGGATATCACCAAAGTCGTCGTCCATGTTGTTTCGTGATCTGTTAACACTGCTCAGTTCTTAAAAAGAGGAAGTTCAAGAGAGTAAAGCAGGAACAACAGTATGTAGCCTCCGAGATATAGGAAAACAGACTTGATTTCTGCGGCCCTTTATCCTAGCTTGGGAAGCTGAAGACTGAGCTTGCTAGTCAACATTATATGCGGCGTATATTATAGGCGAGTTCTACCAATGAACATGAGGTGACAACCAATTAAACGCGCGGCTAAAATTCCCAAAACTACCCGCTCCTTAGTTTTTGCAACTGAAGTTTAATTTTCGGCAAATCAAGATTTTCCCAGATAGCTGGCAAAAACCCCAAGTATGGCAGAAACACGCAAAAGAAGACGTCTATCAGACAGTGGGAGCTTCCAGGAGGACGGAGGGGTCCCAGCGACAGAACAACAAACTGGGACGGTTGCGGATGGTGATGCTGCGGCTTCCTCGCAGCAAAAAACCAAATCTCGCCGAACACTTTTCGTGCGCTCCCTCCCTGCATCGGCAACGACAGAGAGTTTAACAGAGTACTTTTCGCAATCATACCCCTTAAAACATGCTACCGTCGTTCTAGATCCTCAGACAAAACAATCGAAAGGCTACGGATTTGTCACTTTCGCGGACCATGAAGATGCTGCGAAGGCCTTAGAAGAATTCAACGGCTCGGTTTTTGACGGGAAGAAACTCAAAATTGAGGTCGCTGAGCCACGCCATCGAGAGATTGACGAAAAGGGGGGGAAAAGCGTGTCTACTTCAAACCTGAAACAAGAGCGAGAAAATCGAAAACTCCAAGCTCAGCCCCCCAAACTCATCATCCGAAATCTGCCATGGAGCATAGCAGAACCGGACCAATTAGCCGCCCTTTTTCGAAGCTTTGGCAAGGTCAAACACGCGGTTATCCCGAAAAGAGGTACTCAGCATTCTGGGTTTGGATTTGTGGTATTAAGGGGTAGGAAAAACGCTGAGAAGGCGCTGGAGGCTGTCAACGGCAAGGAGATTGATGGAAGGACCCTGGCTGTTGATTGGGCGGTGGAGAAGAGCGTTTGGGATGAATTGCAAAATAACCAGGACAAAGGTGCTGATGGGAAGGACAAAAAGAAGGAGCAGTGTGATAATGACGATGATGGGAATGGGGAAGACGGAGATGAATCCGCTCTAGATGATGAATTGAATGGTGGGCTGGAGGAGGAGGGAGAGGATGAGGATGAGGACGAGGATGAAGACGATATTTCTATGGCAGATGCTGATGAAGATGAAGAAATGGATGAGGAGGTTGAAGATGAACGAAACGCTTCAACGATTTTTATCCGCAACCTGCCTTTTAGTGCTACAGATGAAACTCTCTACGAACATTTCGTTCAATTTGGGCCTTTAAGATATGCCAGAGTTGTGGTCGACCCGGAAACAGATCGGCCAAGAGGAACAGCTTTTGTTTGCTTTTGGAAACACGAGGACGCAATATCTTGTCTTCGTGATGCCCCTAAACGAACAGATTTACCGCGGGCGGAAGAGTCTAAGGCCAAGATATCTACCATAAAACATTCAGTGCTTGAAGATGAAAACAAAGACCCTTCAGGTAAATATACAATGGATGGTCGGGTTCTACAGTTATCTCTCGCCGTGAGCAAATCCCAGGCCGCTAAACTTGAGGCCGAGGGCAGCTCGCGCAGGGAGGCTCGCGATAAAGACAAACGACGACTATTCCTTCTCTCTGAGGGTACCATCCCATCTAATTCCCCTCTCTACAAACAGCTCTCACCGACGGAGATTGCAATGAGAGAAGCAAGCGCCAAACAACGACAGAAACTCATCAAAAGCAATCCGATGTTGCACATCAGCCTTACCCGTCTATCTGTCCGTAACATACCTCGGAACATCGACTCCAAGGCTCTGAAGGCCCTTGCGAGAGAGGCAGTTGTCGGCTTCGCGAAAGACGTGAAGGGCGGTCTGCGTGAGCCATTATCAAAGGAGGAGCTTCACCGAAGTACTGATGACATGAAGGAAGAAGACAAGTTGCGGAGGGCAAAAGGGAAGGGTATCATCAAGCAGGCCAAAGTCGTCTTCGAAGGCAAAGAGGGTAGTAAGGTTGACGAGAAAAGCGGAGCTGGACGTAGTCGCGGATACGGATTCATTGAATACTACTCCCACCGCTCTGCGTTGATGGGACTTAGATGGCTCAACGGACACGCAGTTGCTGGTCCCGACAAGAAGAAGAAACGGCTCATTGTCGAGTTTGCGATCGAGAACGCGCAGGTTGTCAAGCGGAGGCACGAGAAGGAGGAAAAATCGCGGAACCATGACGACGAAGGCGGGAGGCAGCAGGCACGTCCCCAAAAGAACGCATTCCCAAATCGTCGAGATTCTTCAAAGCCCGGCTTCCCTGCCAAGCAGGGGATGAAGCGAAAGTGGTCTGAAGGCGCTACTGGGCAAGGTAATCCAAATCCGATAGCGGCAAACAAGGCTGATAATGCGAAAGACGCCAAGCCTGAGAAGGATAACCAGATAGCGAAGAGAAACAGAATCATTGCAAAAAAGAGGATGCTGAGGAAGAATAGGAAGTGAATTAACCGATGTCCCCATCAACATTCGTTGATTGGGCCATTTTTATTTGCGCTGCTTTGTAGTTTGTTTCATATTACTTATATATGCAGGCGTCGAGATTCGGAGCAATGCAAATTTACCCACCATGAGCTTGCACATAAATAAGCCTGTTCTATACATACTAACATCTTCAACCGATTTGAGTCCCTTCCTGCACACTGTGTAGCTCAATTTTGGAATGCAACTCAATGACGTCGCTTGAAATGTATACATATATCTGGATCAGGAACTTGTAGAGTTACCCATATTATGCATTCATGAAAACACAAAAGATGAGAAAAGAAAGGAGAAGTCCTACTCCCCTTCACCAGACGCGACTATGACCAGAGGAAGATCTGGTAGGAAAAGAGAAAAAATGTTACAAGAAAAAAAAGTCATTCATTCGTTGAGACCCCCTCGGATTATCTCCCCTTACTCACCCCCCTTTCTGTGCAGGAACGTCTTAGGTATTCGTAGCGCCTTCAACCTTCCCCACAATATTGTACCGCTTGCTGAAGAAGGTAAACCATTCTTCCAGCACCCCCTTTTCCTTGTCAGGCAAATCGTGCCACTCCGGTCTGCAGTCCTCTGGCTTCAGTGAAGATGAAGCTAGAGCTCGCGAAGCGTCCTTTCCAGCGAATACTATGTGACGAAAGAAGTGTTCGATTTAGCGCTTGTCCACAAGATGTCTTGTCATATATATATACGCCATCCACATAGTAAAGAGCAGGCTACGGAGAAACCATACCGTGATAATTACCACCGGGTCCGTAAGCAGGGTTTCCAGAAACGTTGAAGACAACGCCCTTGATCGCAACGAGAGTCGGGCGATTTGGATCAGTGCCTAGCAAGAAGTTATCGGAGATCAGCCTAACCAATTCAGTCGTAGGTCTCATCTATCTATCTTGTCTAGTGAGAGCCCGAAAAATTTCAAGGAGTAACAAAAGACAAAGAGAAACACCGAAAAGAAAACGAGTAACAATCGGCGATATCACGATTATCACGGCGGTAGTTAGGCTTGTTAATCCCCAGTCGATGTGTTCTGCATACCGTCTGATTTGCTTAGCTCCTCTACCGAAATTGGATCATCCTTTGGCGGATCGAGGTTCGTTGCCTCCTTCGACATAATCCCTTTGCCCGTCATGGCGGTATATTCGTTTCCTGGTTTCCCCCGCGCGTGTTGATCGTTGGTATAGCTAGCTAACTGCTCTCTGTGGAGCGGTTCGGGTTTTGGAGGGAATTAGGCTCTCGCTGGATCAGGCGGTAGAGGGTTAAGCGGTGTGCGCAAGCTAGGTGCCACGTTCGGGACACTGGCTATTGAACTTGGCTATACAATTCTTGATTTTTTTGAAAGCTTGGATGCTTTGCCCAGGGCCGGTTGTGACGATTTCCGCATGGATAATATTTCTTTGGCGGGGGACACCATCACGTGGATTGCGGGATATTTATTTAACTTCATCGACACCACAGATGAGATATATTTACATTATTGGAACGGAATCTATACAACTGCATATAAATCTGATGCTGAAACCAGGCCAATGGCCGATGCAGGTCATCCTCCCATTCAGGTGGTTGGCATAAATACGAAACAAGGTCCATCGGCCATCCGTGTGAAAAGGATCGAACTACGGAATATCAACTCTGGATTGAGAGACGGCAACGCCTAGCACTCGTCTTTTTATTCCCAAACTCCGAATTATTATTAGCCCCAGCCCATTCATAAATGCCGGGTCTGGTCAGTCCGGTTTGCGACGTATCCGTTCCTGAAGCATTCATTGCCGCTAGAGCTACGGGTTCACGCTGATTCCGAAAGCATTCAGGTTGGCATTTTAACCTCTGTTAGCCAAGAAGGAAAAAGGCAGCTTGGGGGGAAGTTGTCGTCCCGGATTTATTCACGAGCATATTGAAATTCTGCGTGGCTGTGACGGGATTTTTCTTTCAGACCTTGGATCAAGATTTCACCACCACCACCACCACACACATATATATATATATATATACTTTGAGTACTTTGAGACCGAACTCGCGATTGAATAAGAACCTTCCTCCAAAACATGCTTTCATTGGCCTCCTCAGCAGAACAGCAGTCAAAAGGAGGCAGCGAAACTTGAACAAAACATGACGGACGCTAATCATATGGCAAGAGAATAGCACGAAATGAAGCTTCCGTTGAGAAGGCCCTCAAAACTTCGTTTACACAGCCGCTGGCGGGGATAGACAAAAGGTATTCCGTTAATTCACGGCTTCGGTCAGGTCCGATTCTGACCAGCGAGCCCGGGGTAACTCTGGACTTATGCAACATTCTCAGGGACAATGTATTCCGGATTCCCGAGAAAACAGACCATTTTTGCGAGACCAGTAGTAAACATGCCGTACGGCCCTGATTCATCCCTTGCTAGATGTGACTACTATAGAACTCTGTAGATATGCGTTGGTGGCAGAGGGAACTAGTTAAGCCTCAAGCCAAAAGAAGGGTTATTTTTTGTTGTATTGCAAACCAATTTTTGTTTTCTTCCAATCTCTGACTGGCGATATAAAACTGTGTAGAAGAGATTGCTATATATGGGAGATATTACCATCAATTCTACGGATGCAATTAGCTATAGATACTCAGTCCCACACGCGACTTGTAGTCTGTAGAGGCGATAAAATTCTCTTCGAACAACACACACAGTCGCAGTTGACGAGAACTTATCCCAAGATTCATTGGCCAGTTCGCAAGGGATCCGCGAAAACAAGGACGAGGCTAAAAGAAAATAAGCTTGACAAGCTTCACTTCCTAGCAGCTAGTTAGTTAACTAAGCATTGAGCCGGGTGGGTGGCTGTGGCGGCGCCCCAAGCACTAGATAGAGGCTAGGGGTGCGTTGTCCGCCGTGGCTACTTAAAACTCCCCCGAACCTCGCACTCGGAATCTTGTCACACTTCTTTTTGAACCGGGATCCGGGGTTGAGGGGAGAGGGTTGAGGGTTGAGGGTTGAGGGGAGAGAGGAGAGAGGAGGTCTGACGGCAAGGAATCATCATCTAACTACTAACCATGAGCTCAACCATGCAAAGTTAGCAGTTGTATGACGCCATATAACGTCTCTCGTCTCGTCTCTTCTTTCCCCCCGAAAAGGAAAAAGCTGTCCTACCTAGCAAAGTCCCTCCCCCACGACGACGAGTCCGGCTTCTTTCGATTTGGATACTTGGATATTTGGCCGAGCTCAAATGGCCAATCCCGATCCCGAATTTGGTTGTCAGGTAGAACCGACCGAGCTTCGTGCTTGTTATCGCACTCAAAGTTAACTTTTTTTTTTCTCTTCTCTCTTTTCCTTTCCTTTCTTTTCCTTTCCTTTCTTTTCCAGGTATTATATATTCGTCTATTTCCCCGTCCATGTGCCCCTCCTCTGTCTTTCTTGTCTTTCTGCTGCTTGTATGTTTCCACCTCGCCTGACAGGTAGGGCTTCTCCCGGAAGTCTGCGCAACCTTAAACCTTTTAAGAAGCATGTATAAGGCCACACCCACTCGTCCCAGGGGTAAAAGGTAGGGAAAAAGAAAAAAGAAGAAAGACAAAAAGGAAAAGAAAAAAGACATTTTGCCCTCTGCCATCTCTCCAAGAAGTCCGTAGAGTAGGACAGAAGACGACGGATTAGCCCTCGTTCGCAGCAGATTCAAACTTCAAAAATGGGCCTTCCAGAATCCGCTCCCATCTCAATTGAGAACATCGCGCACCCCACAGCCAGATCCTCTGACGTCGAAAAGTTCCCATCCGGCGAACTGCGCAAACGACCCTACACCGATTTTCTCGAACCGGTTTTCACTGGCTCAAACGATGCCTCTTCAACCGACGAGGCCGGGTCCCTGAAACGCTCCGCCGACCAAACTCACCGCAAACTAAAGCCGCGACATATCCAGCTGATTGGGATTGGAGGCACGATTGGGACGGCGCTCTACGTGCAGATTGGGAAGGGCTTGATGAATGGCGGCCCTGCGAGTTTGTTTCTTGCGTTCACGCTGTGGTAAGTCTGGGCTTTTGTTTTTTTTTTTTTTTTTTTTTTTTTTTCCCCTTCTGCCTTGCTGCTCTTTGGCGAGAGGTTGTTTTTTCTTTTTCCCTCTTTTTCCTTTGTTTCAAAAAAGGGTCTGCTTCTTGTGCATCAGATGGCTACTTGGAACAGGAGAGGGAAACAAACGAGGGAGGAAGCGCAAAAGGGTCGAGGTAAGTGTGGGAGATTGAGTATTGAAATCTATGATACTGAAGCTTCTCTCAGAAGAAGGAGAAAGTCAGGACATTGAAAAAAAAGAAGAAAAAAATGACAGTTAGGTAGAGGAGAAGGCTGCCTCTGTTGCATCACTGAGTATTAAAATATAGCAGATGTTCTCGTTCTTTAAACAGGGGACAAAAAAAAAAAAAGAAAAAAAAATCACTGAATGAAATTTCTCCTGCATTTCCATTTCACCCCCCTTCCTTTGCCCCTCTGGCTTTTGTTAACGATATCTTGCATATATGAATCTCATTTCCATCTCTACAATAGGTCTTCCTTCATCCTAGCCGTCACCATATGTAAGATTCTTCCCGGAAGTCTTCTCTTTTTCAGCCCTTATGGCCCCGCGTCTCGCAACCAAAAAGAAAACCCCGGAAAAAAACTGCAGATAAATATTCCACATCTGTTATCCTGCCCAAGCACGCCCTTTTTTCTTTACTTTACTTTCTTCCATGCAGCCATGTTGCCTCATATATCAGATCAGAACCTTGGAGAAAGCAAAATGATGCCCCAACAATGCGACATTTGTATCGCTGTCTACATCCCCTTTCCCAGGACCACAGCTGAGAGGAGCGGACCTCCTCTCCCCCCCCCCCCCCTCCCCCTTTTTCCTCCACCTCCACATCCCCTATTACTATTTATTACATTTGGTCCATATTTACTTCCATTCCACGTATTATCCCACAGAAAAGAAAAGATTGGTTTATAAAATTTAAGGAGGAAAACCGATTCTGTTTCCCTCCCCCCCCCCCTCTTTTTTTTGCGACTGGTTGGCTAAAAAACAAAACTAAAAAAAATAATACAGCTATGGCAGAGATGGTCACATATCTGCCTATATCGTCACCGTTTATCCGATTCGCCAGCCGCTATGTCGACGAGGCCTTCGGCGTGGCTACGGGATACAACTTCTTCGTCTTCGAGGCGGCCATGGTCCCCTTTGAGATTGTGGCTTGCAATGTCATTATCCACTATTGGAGCGATGTTGTCCCTGTGGCGGGTATCATTACCATCGTGCTGGTGGCTTACGGGTAGGCCCACCATTTTTTTTTTTGGGTAGTAAAACTGGATACTAAGGATGATTCCGTTTGGGGAAAAAATAGTGTCATCAATTTCTTTGCAGTGCAGTGGTATGGCGAGTCTGAATTCTGGCTCGCGCTAGGTAAAGCGCTTCTCATCATTGGTCTCATCATCTTCACTTTCATCACCATGCTTGGTGGGAACCCGCTGGGCGATCGATATGGATTCCGCTACTGGCGCGAGCCCGGCGCCTTTGCTGAGTTGTATAAAACTGGAGATCTTGGCCGGTTCCTGGGATTCCTGCAATGTTTAATTCTGGTAAGCTGCTGCAGGATTCCCCTGTTTGTAAAAGTAGCATTGAATCTGTTGACTAATGACCCCACTAGGCTTCCTTCACAATTGCCGGACCAGATTACGTATCGATGGCTGCTGGAGAAACAGAAAATCCACGTTATGTCTTGCCCCGCGCGTTCAACGCCGTCTTCTACAGATTGACCGCCTTCTTCGTCCTGGGCAGCTTATGCGTGGGAATCGTTGTTCCCTACAACGATCCGACAATGTCAGACGCCTTCGGAAACGGCTTACCGGGCGCCGCTGCATCCCCCTATGTTGTCGCCATGGACAGGTTACAGATCAAAGTGCTCCCGCACATTGTCAACGCAATGGTGCTGGGCGCGGCATTCAGCGCAGGAAACTCTTACGTCTACTGCGCCAGCCGCAGCCTGTTCGGCCTCGCCCTTGAAGGAAAAGCACCCCGCATCTTCACCAAGTGCAACAAGCACGGCGTGCCGGGTCTACTGCGTCCTGCTTGTCCTGCTCATTGCACTGCTGTCCTTCCTCCAGGTTTCCAACGAAGCTGCCGTCGTGTTGGACTGGTTCGTCTCCCTCGTGACTGCTTCGCAGCTGCTCAATTTCTTCGCGGTAGCCTTTACGTTCACCCGGGTTCATGAAAGCGCTGGACGCGCAGGTGTCACTCGCGACTCGCTCCCATACAAGGGGCTCCTCCAGCCATATCTTGCATATTACGCTTGCGCGGGGACGCTGACCATGGCCTTTGTGGGAGGGTATACGGTATTCTTACCTGGGACTGAGCATACCGACGTTTCTATTCTCGTAC